TTGCCTGAATGCATGAGGCCTTGAGCATTAGCATTGCATTTTGCATGTTAAAATCTATCCAACCAGGGCCGTTAAGCTTAATATGCTAACCGGAATAACATCTGATGTCCATTTGTCCGTGGTAAAACTTATGTGCAATCCATTTTATTGATCAAGTTGTGGATGTGTGTTATGACTACCACAATACGTCTGAAAAAAAGCAATGGCTCGGGATGGTAACGTGGCTTAGCCATCGCAGCTGCTTCGTACTCTTTCCATATTGCTTTGCCACGATGACCATTAGGTGAGCTATTAGGTTTGTTGTGTTAAAACCTGAATACTTTTTTCCTCCTCTCAGATTTCTTGCTGAACAGGTTTTGCAAACCGAGAAAAAAAAAACACACTATTGCAGGGCGGCTGGGAGTAAGTTTTTTAGAGAAAAGACCTATGAGCTTGTAGGCTCATAGGTATAATACAGTAAAAATGCAATAAAAAATAATCAAACAGATTAACATTCATTACTTTACTGTCATATACATTTCAGTGCATGCAACCAGGTGAATAAATGCGCTATTAATTAAACTTCACTCTAACAACCCTTTAACAACGTAGATTTGGTCAGCTAGCATGAACTTGTTGTTATGTCACATGTGAATCTATTAGCTCTTTTTACGCAAACCGTTAGGAAAATCATTATATTATTACACTACTTAAACATTATTGAACAGTTCTACACATCCATTACACAAAGAACACAAGATCAAAATGAGACTCTAAAATACTATGGTTATGTTAAACTGCAGGAATAGACATAAAAGTGTGTGACGGCACCATGTTCTTACTCTGAGCTACAGGCAGGGTGCCCTGTCTGGTTACAGGTGTCCAAATGTTGCGGTGCGCTCTGGGGTTCGTGGAGATAAAGTCTCTCAAAAGCGGACAAATCTGAAATGCGTTTCTGTCCCACATTTCCTCCTCGTTTTTGTCTTTAGTCTATGTAAATTACTAGCCTGCTGCCACATGCGGGACACTAGCTTGCTTGACTGTGATGGTCACATGGTCAGTAACCCCACACAACACCACTTTTTCATAAGTTTTTTTAAATCAGAGTAGCATAAATATATTGGTTTGTTTTTGACAATTTTGAAGACATTAGTTCCAATTGTAGCGCGCACATTTGGTTAACTTTTGTTTATTTAATTTTGTCAAATGCTTAATATATTTTCTGCTTTCTTTTCTGGTGCTGTGGGAGTGCAATCAACTGGGGGAATGTGGCTGACATCATGGACTGATTGGGTGGTACCATCTAGAGTTCCACTATGGGGGAAGACCATGGACTCCACATTTTAAAATATGTTGCATAATTTCTTCTTCTTACTTTTGTGATTTGCTCATTCTGTTAATTTGTATATTGATATTTAAGTTTAATCCTTAAGCTAACTGTTTAGTTATTTTTTTGTTAATTTGTTGTAGATGTTCTCCCTACCTCTTCCTCAGTGTGTCAGTCTGGTCTGATCAGCCAGTATTTAAGTCCCCTTTGTTTGCTGTGTGTCAGGTCAGTTTTTTGTTTGTTCAGTTAGTTTGAGGTTTCATATGTTTGAACTTAAAACTTTTTGCCCTTAGTTAATTTTTTCATTTGACCTCTTTTAAGGGCCCTGAATTTTTTGTTTGGATTATTGTTACTTTGGGGAAATAAAACCCAGTTTTTTTGACAATCACCACTGTGTCCTCATGCTTGGCTGGCTCGGTCCCTCACATTGACATTGCCATGAAAACATATCTTCCATAAACTTGTGTTGATTAGGCCTCAGAATAATTAAATTAAAATCCAAATACACACAATAGTAAAATAAAAAAAGTCAAAATAATTTCCAAAATATTCATAAGAAATTTATAAATTGTGCAGAGTATTTTTAAAGGGGTCATAGAATGCAAAACCAAGTTTCCACTGTCATAGATGAATAACGATAGTTCAGTGGTTGAAATGGGCGTACAGAGAAGTTCAAACCCCAAAACACCTCCTTTCTTTGCAAGTCTTACAATTTCAAACTTCCACCATGAAATAGGTGAATCCAAACGAAGCCCCGAGTTGACGTAAACTCTGGGATGTTGCTTTATTTGGTTCCGGCCTGTACTTTTGTCACCCCCCGAGGGTACGGGTGGGAGGTGTCGAATGCTGGGCCGCTGTCTAGATAGCAGCAGAGAGCCATGAGCAGCCCGTCCTCAGCCGGGAGAGGGGGGGCTGGGGGCCGGTAAGGCAGGCGGGTGGAAGCATGGGCCTGCTGGTGTCCAGGCTACCATCACTGGGTCGGGTTTGGTTGCTGAGCTGACGGCTCAGTTTGAGTCCCCGGTGTGTTTTTACTACTTGCTGCACTGTAGTTGACCAAAATACCGGACGATTTTGAAATTTCCCCCTGACATTTTTTTAGGTAAGCAAAGTAGGACATGTGCGGAAAAAAGTGGACTTCTGGTCTCCCTACCATATCAACAATTTCGATGTTTCAGTGAGTGGGTGCTTGTTGCTATGATGCGTCTTTGCTCCTCAGCTTCGCTCGTTGTAAATCAACCAATCAGCGCACGGCTCATCTAAATATTCATGATTATACCATAAAAGGAAGAAAACGTTTCATTCTGGGGCTTTTAACCAGGCTTGCATTAGAGCTCATAGAACAGCAAATATGCCATTTTCAGCCCAACCAATGTTACACACCCTATTCAAAAGCCTAAAGGACCAGCACCAGATACCCTATATAATCATTCCATGACCCCTTTAATACATTTTTTATCTCCCTCTTGCCACTAGGGGTGCTGTAGCACCCCCAGAATCCCTATTTCCTGCAGCCATGCACTAGTGAAGATATGTTTGGTAATTAACTGTCAGGTATTGAAGGAGCCACGCTTAGGTCCTGTTAGTAAGGTGCAGGGAAAAAAAAACACTTTGGGGCTCCTCTGCTTGAATAAAATTGCACCTAATTTAATTGATTTATTGGCTATTTTTTATCGAAAAAAATACGTATCGGGCTGATAAAAATTCAGCCAAATTGGACAATATTTTATTGTCATGAAAAATATTGTGCATCCCTATAAAAAACTAAATTAGCTGATATTATTATAGTATCATGTCATCACAATATGAGTTTCTTTCACACCAAGTTATACCTCTTTAACCACTCTAACTGCAAATAACCTTTAGGCCAAACAATAACAAACTGTGACCTTATTCCTCAGGAAATACTATCACTTTAATTGATCTTAACCTGTTGATGCTTTGGCAGCAGGAAAACTTACATCAAAATAAAAAAAATAATAATTTGTTTGTATAGTACACAAAAACGGATCTTATAAATCGACAAAATCATACAATTTTTGCTTATAATGAAGGAATCAATGTTCATTATTTTGTCGTAAATATCTTTCTATGAAGAGTGTAAAGAATTTTCATTATTGAATAAAATCATAGAGAGTAATTTCTTGAACATAAGAGCAGCACTGGCACCATCTGCAGAAATTATGTGAGGATTGATACTTGTTATGGAAAAAACACCATCATCAACCGAGCTACATTAAAAATTGTCAACAAAGTCTTTGTTCCTCAGGAATCCATTGACTGAGATTAAGCATTAAGCACTACCATAATAAATAGAAGGGAGATCTCTGATACAGGAGAAGAATAACCCATTTGAGAAATTAGTTCTAGTTAACCACGACGTAACTGTGTTTCTCATTCGGAGCCACCATCCTTTTTATTTTCTCATTTTCTAAGGGCATGGATCAGCTGAAAATGGATGCTTTCTTGTTATTGAGCTTGAAACCGGTAACCTAACCTTCTCTTATAAGAAGAAAATGATGCTGAAAATCCAGACCTGAACCTGAGGTTATTTAATAAACCACCTATTCTGCTGACTCAGCTGAAATCAAAACACAGAAACCATAGAGTCTAATCCTGCTATAGTTATTCATATCACATTATATTTATATCCACAGCATACATGTGGAAACAAAACAAAATGCAACAGCTGATTTAGTTGTTTTTGTTTTGTTTTTTTAACCTTTACCTGGAAGTATTGGTTGATTTTAACAGTGTTTAAAAAGCAGTTTATATCAAGATTATAATACTTTGTGTTATAATTTAGGTATATAACCAAACCCTCCATCTTTTATTCTGGTCATCAGCTGCAGAGGTTGAAAATGCATAACAGGGAGGGTCAGCTGACAGAGTTACATGAACCCGTGAAATAAGCAAGAAAGAACCAATTATCCTTGCTATTATGGTAACTGAGCATCCATTAGTGACACCTCAGCAAAGCCTATTATTTTGCTAATGTCTTGATTAAGTTAAAGCGCTGCTCGGCTAAAAGGTGAACAGGAAAAGCATCAATATTGGCGCTCCTGAGGGAAACGGCATTAAATACAGGATACAGTTGCGTTTAATGACACCTGTTACCTGTCATCAGCACCGCGGCTTGTAGAGTCTACCTTTCAGGGTGACGTTGACAGTTCTATGAAAACTCACCTTTAAAGGCAGAATGAAGAGGAACCAGGTAGTTTTTCTTTTGGAGACGAGACTAAGTGCGCCGGAGAATCTGCTGAGGAGCGCAGGGTTGAGGAAGTCTCCTGCCTCAGGTCCGTCTTCCTCCTGTCTGTCTGTCAGCGCGCGGAGCTGGGAGAGTTAGAGGCGGGGCCAACACAAACCACGTGACTAGGAGACGATGTCATAGTAGAAAAACGCCACTGACAGCCTGTTTACACTCCACCCCTACTTTAAATACGTATTGAAAATGTAAAAATTATCAACAAAGAAATAAAATACATAAAAATCTAACTTGGAGGGGTTACTTAAGGAGAAAGGCTGAGTGAACGTGTGGGAGGGGGGCTGATGGCTTATTCTGACTGTAGAAGGTATTGCTGCCCTACTATTAGAAATAACCGGGGATGGATAGTTATATGTCGAGAGGAAATGAGGGAATAATCTGTTCTGAAGGCCACTATTACCTAATTTATCGTTACATGTATCGCTTGGCTTGCAGCAGTGGTGATTTAATGTGAATGGCGAATTGAATCCGTCAGGTTCTTCCTTCTCCCCTAAGCTGAATGGTCCTCTGCTATGGACCCTACTGCTTCATCTTTAAGATAGATTTATATTCATATTTTAACTTTTTTAAATTAAACTGCAACTAAACGGTCAGTAAAATGTAATAAGACATTTTTTTTTTTGATAGCGTCTGATTTGATTTATTAACTTAAGAATTATTAGCTTACTACTTGCATTGAAGTTTTTGGGTTCATTCATATTCAGGATAACAGTGTATTTAAATGTAACTTTTACCAACACACAAAAATATAGACCTTCCTTAGTTCTGACAAGTCTAAACAAAAATAAGAAGCAAAGTAACAGTTCTGATTAGAAATAAAAAAAAATAAATATCTACGTCTCCTCTCTTAGATTCCTTTGATTTTCCATAATAGAACTGATTTCCCCCCTTTCACATATATAAAAATCCTTAAATAACCAAGCTCCACCTTATGTTCCTAACAGAACACTTTGCTCTCAGTGTGTTGGTTTTCTAGTGATTCTTAGAATGTCTGTAAGTAGAATGGGATGCAGATCTTAGGCTCCTCTCTTATGGAACCAACTATTGGTTTTGGTCTGACACCATGGGCAGACACCCTGTCTACTTTTAAGACGTGACCTAAAAGTTCAATTTTGCTAAAGCTTATGGTTAGAGTGGCTCAGGTTATCTTGAGCTATCTCTATAATTATGCTGCAAAAGGCTTAAGGGTTGGTTATTCTCCCGCAGCAGTGTGTCGCAGTGAGCTTGTTGCAGATATTTTTAATTTATGGCCAATGTTGACGCGTGGTCTGTGCTATGTTATTCTACACCACAACGCAAGAGGGACAATGACGAACTAGCTGTGGGAGTAGATACAGGTGAGGCGGTGAGGAAGTGCGGACAATTTGGTCCCCCAAAAAGAGCAGGGATCCAGGTGGAAAAGGGGTTCCAGCGTTCTCTGTGGACTTTTTCGGGGGACTTTCTCACTTAAAAACATATTAAAACTACTTTTTACCCATTTATAACAGTGAATATAGCAAAGCTGCTCTCTGCTATTGAACACAGGAACAGCAGAAGCATCAGATGCATCTGGACACACTTTACTGGACGTCTGACCTTAAATTGAACAAGAATAAAAAATGAAGCGACAGAAGCTTTTTTGCTGCTTCCAGTACTTGCATTATTAATTAAAATAAGCCAAGCAACTATTTAAATTTCATCCATTTTGTTAGAGGCAAAGAGAGGATTGGGTAGCTCCACCCAACGGGCATCAAAATACTGACAACCAAAAATAAGATACGTAAGGATAATACATGTGGGGAGCCAGAGCCGAGGAAGTAACTTAACAACAAACCAGCACTCAGTGACTGCAGAGGTGTATATAAGGTAAACAGAAAAAAGGATGGACTAATGAGCTGAGCAAATACAAATACAAAGAAACTAAGAATAAACCCAAACAGAGGGCAGAACGCTGACAAGTACAGAGACAATTCAAAGGGTTTTAGATTAATTAAACAGTAAAATAGAGGAGAAGAAAAGCAGAATAAAAGCAAGTAAAGATGAAAATTATATGAAAGCAGATGGTAAAGCAAATAAAACAGTTGCTTCCAAATTTCATCACAAATAAGTGTTTATTGAGATAAGTGTTTATTCAGATAAATATAACTGTAGGCCTACGTAATAGGTCATGATGAACTGTTTACAGTCAGTAGCCTTCTGTCAGTCAGTCAAAGCTCTATTTCTCCTTTTTCCACCAGTCACTCAGGCAGACCAACTTTGGGGAAACAACATAATTCTACATAATAATAATAAAATCTGTGTTTAGAATTTCTCTTGTGATGTGAAGATCCCAAGTTCTTTTAAAACTGAAACATATAAAACTTTGGCTCCATAAATTAAATAGGCAAAATAAATACCACAGAAGCCACATTTTCAGAAAGCGTCCAACTTCACCCACATACACCCAAGCAATCATCAAGAAGCAAACATAATACTGTGGTAATCATCTGTGGCATCATAGTATAATGAAATTGTAAATTACATAACATTGCCTACCTGCCTTTAGGTGGTACCCGAGACTGGAAGAACTCCTGCAGTAAACCAGTTCTGCATTCCACTAGGTAAAAAGATCAAGTTGTGGATGTCAACAAGACTAAAGGTCTTGTTGAGTTTTCCTTTGAGAATCTTCACAACCTCTTAACATCCTCCTAATTTTCATTTTCCAGGCTCAGGTTATCCTGAGCTATCTCTATAGTTATGCTGCTATAGGCTTAGACTGCTGGAGGACGTAGTGACCCTTTTTCATCACTTGTTTCATTCTGTCTCTATTCTCCTCCTCTGCAGAATCTGTTTGTTCAATCTCTAACGTTCTGCTCTCTCTGCTTTTACTCATAGTAGCTTCATCTTGTTTGTTCCTGTTTTGCTGTGACTCCAACCTGGAGAGAAATATCAGCTGTGCTGCTGCCATCAACACCTTTGTTTCTAGATGTTGGAGATTGGCCCGTTTTTCAGTGTAGTCCTGTTTCTCTGACTGTGACTGGCTGTATGTGCTTTCTTCATCCGCCAGTGGAGCTGATTTACAGTTGCCTTTTCTTTCTGTATGTCCTCTTCTGTCTCCTTGAACCCGAATTGAATTGAATTTTCCCTGAAGCAAACCCGGCATTTTCACAGCTGCATCAATGTTTAACATGTTCTCAGAGGCAGGCGGAGTTTCAGGGTCAGACACATTAATGATCACACAGATCCATTCACTTTCAAACAGGTTCATCAACAAACATCCTTATTTGCCACAACACTTTTCCAAAATAAACAACTTTGCTTTCTGTAGTGATCAATTGTTGAGCTTTGATTGATAAACTCAATCAGCTGAGTCTATCAATCAAACTGGCTGCTTTCTGTGTTCATCTGCGAGTGATCAGCTGGATCCCCCAACTTTGTGCTTTTCTTTGAGTCATCAGTTAAGTTCTTAGGAGAAGATTTTTGACTCACTCAAAAAAAAAAGCACTCGTGGAGAGTTTTCTGGTTTCAAAAAGTGTTTTCTCTACTAAAAATAACTGAAATAATCAAGTTGATGTACTAAAATTTTAAATATTTAACGTTAATTTGTGGTAGAAAAACTTTCACTCCTCACTCCTTCACCAAACAATCCGATCAACCACAGCAGCTGCTTCTGCTTATTAATCACAGCAGGAGACGGCCTGTCAAGGAGGAGGGTCTTTCACATAGCCTTAGATCTGTAACATTAACAATTTAGCAAAAAGGAAATTAATCTAATTCTTAAGAGGCTCCAACTGCACCTCACGTATGCTTTCACCGAAAGCATACACGTTTAAAGACTGATTCGTTCCTCCACCCACATATCCATCCGTGCTATATATGATTGTATGCTTACTGTATAATCTACAACATACTACTAGCGCATGAAGTTGGTCAGTTTGTGTAAATAAAACCTTTTTAAATATAAAATAAAAATGTAATATTGTCTGTGCTAAATGCTCATTATACTGCACTATTATAACTATGAAACTAAAAATAAACATTCTTGTGTTCTCCTTGATATCAAACTTAATTGATTATCTCTGTATACTGAGTCCTTACATCAATGAAATAAAATTACTTTTTTAAAAGTAGATTTTGTTTTAGCAAAACTAATATTTGCTTGGATTATTTTTTTTACTCTTAGCATTATTTACTCCCTAAATCGCCACTTTATTGACTAATAATTAAATGGTAAATCAATAATTTTTTTTAGCTCTATGTAAACGATCAACAGAAAAACAAAAATATAATACATAATATAATACATATAATATATATAATACAATATAAAACAATAATATCTCAGTCTCAGAGGGTATGGCTCATGGTATGAAGGACTGATGCTTGAGATTCTGCGTTCATAGGGGGTCTATCATGTTTCTGTCTTGCTGAATCATGAGCCATGAATGGTCTGCTGTAAGCACTTACAAAGAGCCTCACGTATTTTATAATTTTCTTTGTCCTCATCCCTGCTGACACTGTTCAGTTAGGGATTAGCTTCTTCCCACTGACTTCGTTTTTTTGTTAGCCTTTCCTACTGAGGAAATAGAGTATGGAGTGGAGTATTGGGGGTAAACATGGGTGACAGAGAGCAGAGTAGGTGAAGGGAATCCGTCTCTAGGCAACCAGCAGCAGCGGATGCAAAACCGAAGAGATTGTACTTAGAACCCACCAGAACAGTTTAGTAGCCTTTTTATCGTTCCTGCAATTTGTTTTGTTAATTTTTATTAGGTTTAATGTTGATGTAAATTTGACATATAAAGGTATCGGTTATTCATGAAACTATGGGACAAATTGCTTCCTTAATTGTTTAAATACAACGCCCAATGTTTAACTAACAATCTAAAAGATTATTTCATATTTTAAGGGACAGGTGGCAACTGTCACCTGCAGAAATACACAATTTTGATTTAGTAGTGTTTATCAGAGATGGACAAGGACCTGAGTGAAACTGCCTGAAGCTGGTAAACTGCTTTGTTGCATGTTGTGAAAAAGCAGGAAGAGGTCAAATTAAAGGTGCATTAAAGAACACATAGACAACAGAC